AGCAGCTCTGTTCCTTCCTAACATTGCTTCTGTCAGCATGGGTTTGTCTCTGCTTCCTTTCCTCCCTCCCTATAATGTCTCCCAAAATCTGGTAGGGACCCACCACAGAAGCTCTCTCAAGGGGAGGGGCAGAAGTGGCCTCCAGACAGACAGCTACTGCTCTACGCACCCATGCCCCAGCATACAGCTCTAATTTCCATGTGTAATCGACCCTGTAGGGTTGGCCCAAGTGGACCATTCCTAAGAAATGTCAGTATGGGAAACCTTGTGTCACGAGGACCGCAAAAAGTGATTAGTTCTGAATTAATATTTGTGCTGCTTTTACCTGAGATTGATATTCTGTAAACGCTTGTAGGTCCTTCAGCAACAGACAGCATGTTTGGATAGTCCCAACATTTTGTAGTGGCATGTGGACAGAAAAAAACCTTTCTTTAGTAATTTGAAGCTGTTGCTGGTATAAAAGAAAGTAGAGGGGTCAAGTTTTGCTGTGGTATAGAGCCTATGACTTCACCGGGTTAACTGCTGCTACTTCCCTGTAATTGAGAACATAATTTGGCTCAAACCCTGGGAGACTGAGCAGGATCACAGCAGCCACTGTATTAAGCTAGTGTTCAAAACAGTTGGCTCACACTGAATTTCATAAGTAGATCATGTATTCAGAAGGCTTTAGCTGTATGACACAGTCCGCTGCAAATGAAGAGATGACGGGAGTATCTCTTTGTTTATCTGAGCTAAAGCAGCACACCAGGAAAAGCTATCAGACCTGGGATTGTACCTACATGTTGGGATGATGTGATAGAACAGATCAAGTATCTCCCTGTGGGTGCGTGACCACAAGCTTGGTGAGAGCTGTGGTTATCCCACCTCCCATTGGTCTTGCCAGGAGTCAGCAAGTGAGGCTGCATCCTGTTGGTGGTGCTGGTGTCAGCAGCCAACACACCTCCACCTGTTGGGAGTGGTGGCACCTTAGTAGCACCACTGGAACTGTGCATGAGGAGGTCAGGTAGAGATGAACTCAAAATGAAGAAGAGAGTAGAGATTGGTCTGAAAAAGCGCAAAATATTCACAAAAGCAAGATAGCTTCTGGAGGCATACTTTGGAAAGCCCTTTCTACCTCACCATGAAGCTGCCAGACTTGAGGGCAGCATTCAGTGACTGTGGTGGCTTCTGGAGGATTGGACCTGTGTCACAACATCACTGGTAATTCCTGTCCTGTGCCAGAAAGGTTCACTCCCCTGGTGCTTCTTAGTCTTTGAGGAGACATGGCCAAAACTGGTCATTCATTTTCCACAAGAAAAATATTTAAAAATTTATGTTTTCTACCCTGTCTAGGGGTGGAGAGGGAGGTTTCCTGATGAAAGAAAAATCTTGAAGATGGAAATGCCTTTTCAAGAAAAGGGTGTACAGGGGGTATGGATGATGAGTATCTGTTTATTCCTAAGTTTGTGAGCAGTTGTGCTCAGGCTGATGCCCTCCAAAAGAGACAGGCGTTTTGGGACAGGACCTTCGACAATTCCTCAAGCACTTAGAGGGAAGGATTGTTTTATTAGGAAAGTTTATGGCTTCTTGTTTTCCCTCAAAGGCAAATGTGACTTTGTTGGTTTTAATTCTGTTGGGATTTCTCCCTTTTAATATACATCACAGCTGTTAAAATAGCTGGGGTTGTCTAGGGCAAATCATATAGCACTTTCCTTGTTCAGATCTCAGATGGCTGCCTTTTTAGTGTTGCTGCAGAATTATATTACAGGGCATATGAATAGTGCTGGTATTAGTGTCAAAATCAATTACCCAACACTCCTCCTGCAGAGAAAGCTACAAACCTTAGGAACAATCTGAGTAATCCATTCTGGTTTTCTAATTCTGAGTAATGACGGAGGGCAGAGAGTTGTGCTTGAATAAGTGCATAGGGTCTTTCTCTGTATAGTCACTCCTAAATGCATGCTCTTTACAGGAAAAAGCAGGCTCCCTGTGAAACCCTTTTTCATGCCAAATGGCTCACTGCTAAGATTAATCTGTCATTGAATTTATAAATTCTGTGTGGCACAGAGCAGTGGAAAAAGTTTAGCATCGAACAGAAAGCAAAGTATGTATTGCTTAAAAAATGAATGTTGTGCTCCTGGATGGTGTGGATTGACTGCATCCACCAATATATCTTCTTACACTGGTAATAAAAACACTTCCATAGTCTTGTGCCTCCAAGGATCTCAAAGCACTTTGCAAATAGGGCAAAGTACTATTTCCTACTTTACTGCTGTGAAAACTGACTGCAAGAGAAGCGTTAAGCTTTTTGCCCAGGGACACAGAGGAGACTGTAGCGGATGATGGGAACCTAAATCTCTAGAGCTCCAGTGCTGTGTCCTGGTCACATATAGCACCGAAGCACCACTGAGGAGGCTTCTGGTCACCAGCTTCCAGTTGTCATGCATGAAACGTCAGAAGGTGGGATACAAAGTCAGTGTTGGTGCTCCTTTGCTCACCGGTCTCAGTCCCTGTATGTGGGCAGAGGTGCTGAGCAGAGTAGGAGCTGGCAGGAAGGATGCTTGTGTCCTCCTGGGGTGATCAGCTCTGGTCGTGGTGTGCTGTGGAAGGAGAATGACTTTTGGTTGCTGCTGACTTCAGGAAAAGCTCAGAGCCTCATAGTCAGCCTGCCGTGCCCCAGGCACCTTTACGAAGCAAATATAATTATAGTCTTATTACCCTAAATCCTGTGAGATTAGAGTAGTTGCATTATTTATTTATTTCCTAATCCAGTATTTGAGGATTTACCTGTTTAATGCAACCACTTATTAGAAACACTTGATTATTTTTTTTTTTGCAACTTCAAATTTCATCTTGAAAGAGAGCATACAGCTACAAAGGCCAGATTTTCAAATACGGACCTGATCTCTTGTCACATTCCAGTTGCATAAATGACACATCTGAAAAATTGGGTCCCTGCTAAGGTGTCTGTGGCAGGGATTTAGAGATTTTGCTTCAGGCACCTCTCTGGAAAAAAGCATGGCTCTAACCTGCATGTTTCACAGAACAATTTCTGTTAATAGTTCCTTCCTTCCCTTCACTGGCTGCTGAGCTCTGCAGTGCCCCGAGGAAGCTCCCTCACCCCTGGGGCTGCCCCCAGGGTCAGGGTACCCGGGGAGGGGGGAGGCTGGGGGGTGCGAGGGCCAGCGTCTGGTTTCAAACAAAAGTGCAAAGCCTCAAAAGGAGGGACTAAGGAGAAACAGGTGGGGGGCTAGTAATAGAGCCTCTGATGTTTATTTGCTTAACGAACAGAAGCCCAGGCTGTCAGACCTAGGTCAAATACTCCTCCAGTTCGAGTGTATTTATTTCATACATGGTCTGTAACCCAACCTGATTCCTGGATTAAACCACTGTAAAGTTCGGGCCCCCAGGAACCCATTCCATGTTTGCCATCAAGCCCAGCACATGCCAGGGCAGGACCTTGAGGGGCCACCTCGGTATTCACTGGAGCCTTGTGTCATCAGTAAAGCCTGTAATTGCGGGTCCTGTCATTCCCAATGCAAGCTTCGCAGCTTACAGCCGCAAACTCTGACCGCAGATCCATCACTTAGTTGTCCCATTAATGCAAGCCATGCCTGAAGATAAGCTTATCCTGGGATAAGCTGCTCAGGCTGCAGCACACAGATGTTTGGTGGGACACCATTCTGCCAGAGCCCAGGCAGTGGTGACAGTGCTGGAGAAACACATCCAACATGCACTAGGTCCCTCTGGGATGCCAGCAAGGGTGGGAGTTCTTGACATCTTTGTGCTTTGAAGTTTTTAGAAGGGTTAACATTTTAATCCAAGATGTTCAGGAGTCAGTTAGTCCTCCAGAGTGAAGAAAGGAAAGTTTAAGCTGGCACAATGGCCACAAAACTACCTGCACACACACGAAAGTTTTCTGGTTTCCTGGATATTTTTTGCCTGATCTCATTAATTCCAGTAAGGTGAACAGCCAGTGTGCTCCAGAGTATCTCAGGTGCTGAAAAATTTGCATTTCAGAATCTGCATGTGAAAAATTGAGAATCTGCATTAAAATTAGAAAGGAAAGAAGGAATTAGTAGTAGGTTTTCCCAAAACCAGCCTGAGGCTGGTAGTGCCAGGTAACAGTCCAGGTTCTGTGAAAGCTGGAGTCAGGTGGAGACATGTGAAATGAAACAAGTTAAAACGGAGGGGGAGGGAAGTGGGGAGGAACAAAAGCATTTGCATTTAGAAACAAAGTATGCCTCCTCATCTAAGAGAAACCCCATTTTTGCATTAAATTTGGGATATCCATATGTTTGCTTTTGGTAGACCAGTTAGGTGTAAGTCATGCAGAACAAATGGTCAAGCTAACAAAAAGTTCAAGGGCTGCTATGTTTCATCAGCCTAAGTTTAAAAATCAGGTTGTTTGTGCTCTGGTATCTTCTTGTATTTTGAAACTTTCACAACACTTAATTCACTATTTGTAATGGGGATAAATCTGTAGCTGATTTTCAGATGTAACTGGTCAGGATAGAACTCCTTTGGGACTCAGAGGAATGAATGGATGTCAGTCCTCACCAGTGAGAACTGGATGGGCTCTGGCAGACCTGCTGTGGCTTATCCGTAAGCATTGCTGAAAATTTCTGGTCAGGGCACTGGTTCCAAACCAGCACACAAAATAAGCACCTATGTGGTTTTATACATGCTAAATTTTTGTGTCTCACCTATCCTGTAATCCTGGAAAGCCCTTTGGACTTGTAAGCTTTATTGTGTAGCCCAAGTTTAGTTGGGAAAAACTGGTTTTTGGTACGGATTCTTTTAGGTCCCATCCATTTTAGCACCCATCCATTTGCATGGTTGTGCCCTTTGTGCCTGTGACTGCTGTACTGGCTCGCGCCACTGGAATTAGAAACCTGAGAATTATTAGCTGCTTGTCGTTTACTTTTGAGCTC